GTTTCATTTAGGACCGAGTTACATGATTTAGCCTAAATCCGTTTCCATTCGCTGCTGTTTGAACTCACTGAGTGCTTCCAAGAGGAGTGAAGTGTAATGAAAGGCAAAAATCAATCCTTGGTTCAAGAGCAACATTTTAACTACATTTTATTTTTCATAAAGTGAATCAAAACATTTTTGCTCTAAGAATAATATGCAAGCTATCTAAGTGGCATAAGCTTATTTTCTGGCTCTAAAACGAAAACTTAAAGATTTTCTGGTATTTTAGATACTTTAAATAATAGATGTTTTAAATCAAGGAAATTTTGCAAAAAAAAGTATTTTAAATGGAATGGTGGCAAGGTCCAAATTTCTTTCCCTGTGGCACCGAGACTATCCACACAAGATTTGACTTGAAGTTGCTCCCTCTTGAGGGGGGGGATATGTGTTTCAAAAACAGGAGGCATCTCAAGACAGCAGTGCCAATACGTGTGTCAGTCTTCGGAACAGTCTTGTCAACCATTCCTGGAAAGGAGAAGGGAAAAAACAAAGGAAAAAAAAAAAAACCTTTGGAATCTTTCAACGTTGATCCACAACCCAGAATAGGATGTACTAGAGGGTCAGTTTCATTCCCATAAGAAACATCTTTTGATCATTATTGATGAGGCCAAGGAATAAAGTTGAGCAGGTGAGTGTGAATCACTCGTCATAAAGCGGTGGCAGCGTGATTTAAACTGAGAGCCCAAATCCAAGAAACCAGGGGAGTCTGCGGAACTGGTCAGGGCTAGATTATGGATTTTCAGGAGGAGGGTTTCCCATTGTGGGAATAACTGCCTGGAGTCATTATCACTCACTGATTCAGCGCTGGCTGTTACCACTCCTTTTCCTAGCACTGTGAATTAAATCATGCTTGATAGTTTTATGATCATATTTTTTCACTATAAAAGTAACAAAACCACTTAAAATAAGAGCAGTAAACAAAACCATCCCCAATCTCACCTTCTAACATACAATTGCATCATTTGGATTTATCTTTTCTGGCCTTGTTTCATGCTAAAAAATTTGTTTGTGCAATTTTGCCTACCTCTTTTATATTGGACTAATTAACCATTTTATTTTTTTGCATATTCCTAAAATCTTTGTAATATAATTAACATAATTTAAGTTGTATTTATCCTTCTTTGTATTTTATTTTTTAATTGAAGTAGAGTTGATTTACAATGTTGTGTTACTTTCTGGTGTACAGCAAAGTGATTCAGTTATACTTATACACACAAGTATATTCTTTTTCATATTCTTTTCCATTATGGTTTATTACAGGATATTGAATATGGTTCCCTGTTCTATATAGTAGGACCTTGCTATTTATCTGTTTTATGTGTAGTAATTTGTATCTGCTAATCCCAAACTTTTAATTTATCGCTCCCCCACCCCCTTTCCCCTTTCCAACCAGTCTTTTTAATGGTTGTATGATATTCCTTGTGCAGATGCTCTGTAGTGAAATTTTACACTTTCTTATTGTTGAACACTTGGACGTTTAAAAAGTTTTGCTACTAGAAATAGTAGTGTAACTAGACATTTTGTACATATATCTACTTGAATACTTTGAATTACTCTCTTTAGATTAATTATCAGAAGAAAAATCACTGAGTTGTATGTGAGCATTTTTACGACTTTTGTTACAAATTACTTTTGCTTGTCTACCAGCAAAATATGAGAAAACAAGTTTCACTCTATTTTCATCTATTTCAAAGGAAATAAACTTTACCGTTGAATAAAATTGCTCATTTAAGAAAGCAAATGTTGATACTTTATGTTGTCTAATTTTGCGTTTAAAATTCTCTCCGTGTACTGGGTATTGCCTTGTCTCTGAATGGCTGTTCATAAGTCTACCTGTTGGAATCACAGTGTTTTCCTAGGCATTATGTATACATCTTTCCCATGTAAAGATATTCATTGTGTTGCAAGTAATTTTTGTAAATAATTTTTTTCATGGTGTATTGTTAGCCATTAAATCTATTTTTAAATATGATCTTTATCATAGGAAGTGGCATGCAAGAGCTAACATTTTTGAAATGGAGATAAAATAATTTCAAAGTATACTGTATATATGTATTTACATGCAATATAATGTGTATATGCAGTTGAACTGTAATAATTCTACATAATAAAACTGAAAAAGGAAAAAAAAGAAATAAAACGATTTATCTGAAGGTCATTTTTAAACCCAGGGATATGTTTAATGTAATATAGAGCCATATAAAGCACTTATATACACAAATATTTCCCCATAGACACCACATTTTGAATAGCCGATAGCCAGACCGGTCTAGTCATTGTTCCTCAAAAGTCTCACTCTCTTGTGTCTTCTGTTCTGAACATCTGCTTCCTTTCTCTACAAAGTCTTTGTTGATGCTCAGTCGCTACCTGTTTCTCTTTTAAATTCATTTAGCTTCAGTTGGCACTATTCATAGTATATCTTGTATTCTTATTTAATTGCCTTCTGGTATGTTTTGTCTCCTTAAGCAGAACATACGCTCTTGAAAATGAAGTCATAGCTTGTGGCCTGTTTCTATCTTTCACAGTACACGGCAGCCTGAAAAATGACTTGCCGAATTAGGAGCAATCAGTGTTGCATTCGAGATTAAGTAACAGAATATGGAGAAAAAACCATGAGAGTATAAAGTTTTCAGAAATCTAGATAAAGGAATCTTATTCTAAAGTTAAGTCTCCAAATTAGAGTTTAGAACTAGTGTCATTAGAAGGATCAGCTGGCTCGTGGAAAGTGGGATAATGCACGCTATCACACAAAGGACAAAGAAACTTCTGGCTTCAGTCTGCATCTCCAGGGACAGGCGTGCTCCTGATCATGTCGGGGAAACTGAGGCAGCTTACCAGACTTTCATTCATGTTTATTCTGGAGGTTTTCATAGATGTTCATCTCCTCCTTGGTAATATCAATTGATTCTCTGAGCTGTTGATTCTAGAATTTGAGATAGGAGAAAGGAGTCAAAGAGTGAGACTCTTAATAAGATTTATAAAGCAGGGCTGGTATTGAATCTGGTCTTGAGAGCAGCGGACCGAGAACTGGGACTTCTGGCAGTGGAGACACTGCGTGCTCCATCCTGGGGACCAGAACCTTCGTAAGGGGCTGCTTGATGTTGTGAAAGGCTTTATCACTGTGTAAAGGTAAAGCCACAATTCTGCAGTGGTGGTGGGGGAATGGTTTGAGGGGAGTGGGAAGGGAGCCAGCCCACCAACACAGCTAGGACCTGACATCAGGGAGGAAAAGCATCTACTAAGTAACACAATTGGTTGTCTCACTAGCAGATGTTTCTACCATTTAATGGACTGTCTCTCACTTCCACACTGCTTCCTCTACATTAACAATCATCATGCAATCTTTTTTTTTTTAATTAAGAAAAAGCAGCATTTTAGGGGAATACGTACTGGAAGAGCATTAGCTCACCTGGCTCCTCCCTCTATTCCCCCAAACAGGCGATTCAGATGAATCCTACAGGTCTGGCAGCCTGCCAGGGCTGAGGAGACAGTGGCCTAATTGGCAAGTTTTAGAAGCCATGTAATGTGTTCTCTTAAATGTCCTTCTCATCATTTTTTTCTGGTTGTTTTTTAATTGTAATTTCCCTTTGTTATTTCCTAGTCTTCAGCAGCAACTGTTAGAATTAGAGGTGGTGACTGTATATATTGTTTTTAGAAAATTAATATGGGGAGAGTAAGAGAAGTTTGGAGAAGTAGTTTACAATGGTAAGGAGGGGTCAGCAGAGAGTAATGGACATTATGTGTATGTATTGCTTGTTATATGCCAAATGCAGCATGTATCTTTAATCCCCACAGCAGCACCATATGAGACAGGGATTGTTACATCCCTGTTTTACAGACAGGGAAACTGATGCTTAGGCGGAATGAGAAATGCATCCAAGGTCACACGGCTAATACGTGATGGAACCAGGAGGCAAGCCAGAGAGTCTCATGCTGGAGCCCTTGCTTTTAGCCTCTATGTTATTGGGTCAGGAGTTCCAGGCAACAAGCAACAACCAGGGAAGATTTGGGGAAAGCTTCCCCAGGAAGACTCCAAAAGTTCTTAGGGAGAAAGTCCGCTTCCTGCTTTCATGCAGGATGGGAACTTGTGTATTAAAGACAAGTGTTGGCCTCTTGAAGGCCTGAGAACCTGGACATATTTGACTTAAAGACAAACGTGAGAAAAACACCTTTAGCGTCTGCCACAGAGCAGATAATCACCTTTTATTCAACATACACTTGTGAGGAGAGGTTTGGGGGAGAGGGAGTGTGTGTTTTGACTTTTGTGCCTACTGTTAGTAGAGCAAATGGACGTGGTTAATGTAGACATTTTTAACAATCAAATGTACAATTTTCTGGCTTGTGTATTGGTAGCAGAGATTTCTCAGATTCTGGGTATTATAATCAGCGTCTCCCGCAGGAATACAAACAGCTTGATGAAGACTAGAATCAAAAATAAATTCTCTACCCTACCTGAAGCTCCCTAAAATCCAGTCTACAGACAGGCTCAGGTAGAAATAATGAGGTACAGTTGTCCCTAGGTATCCGCAGGGGATTGGTTCCAGGACCCCTTGTGAAAACCCAAATCCTCAGATGCTCAAGTCCCTTATATAAATGGGAATGGGTTCCATGTTCTAGGATTGGGAAAATCAATTGTACTTTCACTCTATTTCTCTTTGTCCCAGTGTCAATTCCATGGCCTGATAGTGTTTTATAACTTGGGATCTTGTTAGAAAGTTGGCCCAGGATTTTAAAGATTCCTACATCCCCAAGCGACCTATCCAAGTTCACCATGGACCATGGAATTAACCAATATTTATGGGGCTTTCTGCATAACTTGAGTTAGCCTGGGGTAGATTAGATTAGAGCATTTTTTTATTGAGCTCCTGCTTTGTGACAGGCATTGTGAATACCGGGGCAAACCACCTGCAAATCGAAAGATCCTAAATGCGTAGCTGAGGTGGCAGGAACGTATTCAGATCAAAGTTTGAGCACAAGTGGAGAAGGGCTCTCTACACTGTGGCCATACACATCCCGGTGGTGCCTGGTTGCTAATGTGATTCAAGAATATTCTGGCATCTCCTGAACTTTATTTTTTTTTGTCATTTCTCTGACATTAACTTAAAAATATAAATACAGTTTCCACTGTACCCTGTGCTGAAGGAAAGCGTTCATATCAAAATCTATAAAGTAATTAGCAGGTGAACTCCTTCAGAGCAAGAGAAACGCACTGGTAGTTTCCATAAGTTCCAGAGACCCTTTTACCCAAAATAAAACTTTTCAGAAGACTGCTTTAAGTTTACCTGAGTGCTTATTTCATCCTGAGAGCGTTCGTCATCTGTTCTGCCTGCAGCTGGTTCAGAAAAGACTGTGTTAGGTCAAGCACTGAAACAAAGGACCGTATCAGTTAGTCCAACCATCAAATTCAAACAGGTTCGGATCACTTAGGCCCAGGGCCTGTGATGTGAAGTGGTGGAAATTTCAATTGGTAAGAAATAGGGTCACTTTTTAGAAAGAGATTAAAAGTCCTTTACTTTAAGGATTGGGTAACAATATGCAGAAAGTTTGGAAAGTAGAGAGACAATATCATGTATTGTCCCAGCATCCCCCAAATACTTTCATATTAATATGCATTGAGAGTGCCAGGCCCATTGGTAAGTAATGAGGATACGTAAGAAAGCAAACAAGTTACGATCCATGCTTTCTCGGAGCAGACGGACCAGCAAACATACAAACAAACAAAAGGAAATGCAAGATGGAAAAATACAGAATAATTTGTAACTATAACTCAGATGCTATCAGTCTTAATTCACACACTGGATGTCAAATATGGCAGTTAAAAGGATTCCTCTGTACTCTAGACCGAGTGCATGTAAGTTTCCAAATACAAATATGACTATTTTATGAAGGGAAAGTAAGTTCACAGTTACTCAGAGAAGTGTCACTCACATACCTGAGGTTGTTGAACGAGATGGTTTTTGTGACGGTATATCTTTTCTAGTCTTCCATCTGAATCTTTTCACATCAATTGAAGTTTGAACAATCATTACCTTTGTGAAATCTTCAGTGCCTTGTATCTGGCAGGTGACAGATTACAAGCTAATTTCTGAGTCAATACCATACAATTTAAAATGTTTTTCTGGTAAGCTACTATCTCAGGCCCTTTCTAAATATTAATAAATAGAAAATATTAATGCATATTAGATACATATCTTTAAATACCTGGATATGTTGGTTTTGTGAAAGTCAACATTCTATATGCTTTCACTGACTTTTAAATATCTTGCTCGTTTTTCTGACAACTGGGAAAAGTGTTCAAGAGTTAATCAACAACACCCTTTAAAATATCACCCAGAGAGTTTTCTTTGTGGCAAAAAGAAAGTTTAAAAATCAATGGATTTCAAGAAATCCTCTGACCTCATGGCCGTTTTTGGTGTGCTTTGAATTACATTGGTACCCAGATCCACAGCGAGTGGGGCTTTATGCCCAGGTCAGGGGACATGTTTGGGCAGACTTGGGTTGCCTTAGGAATCTCTTGCTTGACCAACTAAATTCTCAACCAGCACCCCTGAGGTCTGTTGTTATGTATTCAAGAATAGAGGTAAGGAATAATTAGGAATAATGTTTCACTTCTCACTGAACGTCACATTGGTGCTGGTGGCGTCCACTTAGAAAACTTTCTTGTGACTGTTCTCACCTCAGGAGTCCTCTTATCCCCACCTCAAATCTACTTTTTAAGTACTTCTATCAAAGCTGTAAATGTTTATCAATCTGTGTGTGTGTGTGTGTATATATATATATATTTTTTTCACTTAGTTGAGAGATCTTTTGAGGGCAAGTCACAAGTCTCATTTGTCTTGACCACTTTAGCATCTAGCACTGTTCTGTCTTGTATCAGTTGCTTAAAAGAATATGTGCTTTATTTGATTGACTCTAGGTCCCTCTTCCAGTTTACTTTCTGTAGTTCTATTTCATATGTTCCCTGATTCCTCCTGACAAGTGCCTCTCTTACTCTACCCCAACAGACACAAACACACACACACAAGCATACATATATACCTTCTTCTCCTTCCCAGGGCACAGCTTCTCATTTTGATTGGAAGTGTAACTTAACAGCTTAAATATGAGAAGTCCTTCACTTTCACATTCTCTTTCAAAGTAGCTGGGGAAATACTACGGGGACTCACTTCAGCATGGAGCTGGCAGAACCTTGTTAGAGTACTGTTCATATGGTCCAGAGAGACCGTGATCCTTCTGCAACATGTACATGAACTTAATAGGCCCTCTTTTACTATTTACAACTGCATCCAAATCTAACTGTGGCCAAAATGTATAACTTAGCTTGCTTCATTGACATTGAACAGGAATAGCTTGGTGTTTGGGCTACCCAGTGCCAAAGCAATCAGTGGACTTGAGGTGTGTATGTTGTGTGTGTGGTGTGTGTGTGTGTTTATGGAGTGGTAGGAGAAAAGGAGAGAATGAGAAGGTGGAAAAGTGATGATTTTGCTAATATTAACACATTGTTGGAAAAATGGCACATTGACCTGAAGACATGAATCAATGTTTCTTTACCTGATGGCATGTTATAGGAATTAAGAAAGGAGCCTTATAAGTTTTTCGTAACTGACAATCTTCTACAGCTCCGTGGATGAGGATGACATAAATTACAGTTTCATCGTAGATATCAGTTTTGGTGCACTTTGGTATATCTCTTACATAAATGTTATGGAGTTTTAACTGCATCTTGTAATTCCAATCCTACAAGAAAAACAATTTCATAATCTATGTTCAGTATAAAGTTTAAAATAAATTCCTAAATAGTTAATTTCTAACAGTACTTCAGGGCAGTTTCATTCAGAGAGAAGGACAATTTTACACAAATACCTCTTACCTCATAAGATAAATGCTCTCTGATTTTTTTGGCAGTAATAGAAAGTCCAATTTTTAGCCACATTTTATATTCAATGTGAGGACAGAGTTGTTCAAAAGCTTCATACAAGTGATTTTTGGCAATAAAACATGTCTGGAAAAGAGAAGATACCAATTTAATATTTCATTCTGTGCACCTGTGATTTAAGGGAACAAGATTTCTCACTTATATTTGTAATATTAAAACTAAGAATTTAAATGATATAGATTCATATTATTGCCTGGAAACCTAACAATATGTGCATATTTAATAAATACTCGTGTGATCTTGTCATACACTAAATTTAAAAGGCCACATGATCCAATGAGAGGTTCTTTATCATTCTTGGTGGTTCTGAAAAAAATTAGGAAACAAAGTATCAAAATCATTTAACCTTTCAAACTAGAGACATAATTATTTCTAAAAACATTTCAGAGGAGCAAACATTTTGGTCAATACTAAAATGCTGACATTAACAGTGAACATACTATTGGCTGTTGGGAATAAGCTCCTATACATTCACAAGCCATGGTGTATGTTGGCTTTTATTTCTCTTGGGTAGGAATCTATGAGTGGGATTTCTGGTAATATGGGAAGTGAGTGTGTAACTTTATAAGAAACTGCCAATCTGTTTTCAGAAGAGGTTGTAATATTTGACACTTTAACTAGTCATATATGACTTTCAGTTGCTTCATTCACATCCTTGCTAATACCTGGTTTTCAGTCTTTTTGTTTTTAGCCAATGTAGTAGGTGGGTAGTGACACCTTATCATGAGTTTAATTTGCATTTCTCTGAGAGCTAATGATATTAAGAATCTTCTTCATGTGCTTATTGGCCATGTGTATATTCTTTTGTGAAGCATCTGCTCAAATCCTTTGCCTAATTTTTAAAATGGAAGCACAGTTGATTTACAGTATCATATTAGCTTCAGGTGTACAATATAGTAAA